TCCAGTCTTTCCTTCTCCTGTCTCTCCCTCTCCAGTCTTTCCTTCTCCTGTCTCTCCCTCTCCAGTCTTTCCTTCTCCTGTCTCTCCAATCTCTCCTTTTCCTCCTTCTCCTCCTTCTCCCTCTCCAATCGTTCCTTTTCTGCCCTCTCCCTTTCTTGTCTTTCCTTCTGCTCCCTCTCCAGTCTTTCCTTTTCCAGCTTTTCCTGCTCGACAGCTTTCTCCTTTTCCAGTCTTTCCTTCTCTACCAACTCAGCCTCCATCTTAAGCCGTGCCACTTCAAGGTCTTTCATCTTCTGAGCCCAAGCTACCTCCCTCTTTTCATCCTCCTCAGCTAGGAGTGCCCGGATCTCGGCCAGAGCAATCCTAGCAATCCTTTTGGCCTCCATCTTCTCGTGAATCAGCCTCAGCTCATTTCTCAGAGCCGCACGCAGCTTCACGCCTCGGTGTGGATGACTTGAAGTTTGAGCTGAAAGATTTCAGCCAACCAGTTAAAGAGGATTATCTTCCACAAACACAGTAACGGAGTTATGTGAGAGATGTTAGTTAATTTATTGTAAAACTAGACTAACAGCTAAAATTAGCTTAAGTTAATTCTTTAGTTTTGTACTTTGTAAGACATAGGCATACCCATATTACTAAGAACTATTTGGAAAGGGATAAGTATTTGCTAGTTATACCTTAATACATGAATATGTACATAATTATGTATATATTTTGAATGTCACGTTTTATGGACTGAGTTTCTTGGTGCATAAAGTACCCTACGCTGCTGCAGGTCACAAGTGACGCTAAAGGTAAGAAGGTTTTACGAGCCAAAGATTCCACTTTGTCTTATTAAGGTCTGGATTCATTTGCTTACACTACTGACTAGCAACTCACTAGGGGCGGGATCTTTAATTGCAAGGCAGCCAACAGTCCGAAGCAGTGATGTACAGAGACTCCTGCTCCATTTATGGCTGTTGACATGTTGACACCTCAAAGCAAAAGATGTTTACCAGAGTAGGCTGTGGGCAGCTAGATAATACAACAAAGATATAAGGAAGACAAAGAAGGATAATATAAACCATAACATCTACAAAAATTGATTGCTATTGTAGGACTAAATGGTAGCACAGTTGGTAGCATTGATAGATAGAAGCAACAAGGTACTGGGTTCATTTCAGGTACCCTCGCTGCCTCCCGCAGCCCAAAAACAAGACGGTTAGGTGAACTGTGATGTGTCATATCTAGTCTTTATTTGATTAACTCATTACCAATGTAACGAGTGATTTTATCCTCTCAATGCGGCAGTTTTTGGCGCATGTGTGATTTTGTTGTGCAACTAGTTTACCCTACATGCGAATGTTTATTTTGCTTGCGGGTGTTTTGAAATAAATGTGATGCAATAATCTTGTCCTTAACCTTCTACAATGTGCAAAAGTTAGGAGAAATTAGTGCACAGCAAAAAAAAACATCAATATTTTTTAAAATAACTGTGTTTGCTCTTAATCTGAGCAGGTAAATAAGATGAATTCCAACCGGAATTAGTATTTTTACTCTTAGAATGACATAATTATATATTATGCACTAAAAATAAGATAGCGTAGATGTTTTTCCTGATTTTAAATGCAAATAGTCTTATTCAATTGACAAAGTATCTCACTTACCTGCTCAAGACTTGCTTAGATTAATATTTGTTTTCATTGGATGGTGATTTACATTTCTAAACATTTTGTTCCATGCATTATAAGCATTGCAGCTACTAAAGGTCAAGTACTGATTTATATTCATATTCTTTGGTTTTGGATCGTCTGCAGACTTTAGTACCTTTGGTCGTGTTTTTTTCAGATCCTTCTGAAGTCTCTCCTGACACAGAAAGCAGAAACAACCAGTCAAATGAAATCGTCTACCACAGCTGCTGTTTTCATGCTGAGCTCAGGCCTTCAAACCTTTTCTACAGATGAGCAGCAGTCAATAAGTCTGCATGCGAGCCGTAAGTGTTCAACACAGAGTCGTGCATGCTGAGAGCAGTACACCACACCAAGCAGAAAACCACAAGACGGAGATAAAAAAAGGTTCACATAGCTTAAAGTGAGAACTTCCTGTCGATGAATTAATGCTGCCTCTATGGCGACATCAGCTTCAAACTGAACCCTTCCAGCCTGAAAGCCTGGTTTATGCTCAGAAACCAGGTCGTCTGCGTGTGTGTTGCAGTTAACGCAGAAACTCTGGTGCACCTCCCAAAAATTGTAGCCGACCGCAGACAGGAGGCTAATTGGTCAATTCTACATCCTCTCTACTCTATGCGTATTTCCTGTTTGGTTCCTAATGGCAGAAACTCTGGTTGTAGTGCAATCAACAATGCCAGGTCCGCCTCGAACACTGTCCCAGACACCGTGCAGGACGCTAGTTTGTAACTCTGTGCGACGGTCTGTTGGTTTGCACCCGGAGCCAAAACACGCAGCGCCACGGCCAGTCTTTGGGGAACACTCATGGGGGAACTGTGTGTGGCGTCCAGCGTTGGATGAGGGGTTGAAGACGGTGAGCAAGCTCGTCAAACTGACACACGGACACCCACAACCCTAGCTAGTTCCTGATTGGCGCTCTGGCGTGGAATAACAGAGCACTGACCACGCTTCAATATTGGGCATAAATGAAAATTACCTGCGACGCACTGCATGGAGGATAACCAGCCCCTTATAGGTTTATCCCTTAAATGTCTGTCTTCCATTCATTTATACCAACTAGGTTTCTAGAATTTGCTTCTTTCATCTGAGGAATATTGCAAAAATGAGCAATCTCCTGTAGGCTTGTCCCGATCTGATCCACGTATCGGATCGGCACGCCGATATTGGCAAAAAAATGCGTATCGGCAAAGCATGTAAAATGCCGATCCAGTTTTTAAAAAAAAATCCGGTCCGTATTTTCCAGTTTCGCCGATTGAAACGATCCATTCCACTATTTCCCTGTTTTGCATTTTTATTAAAACTTACAGTAATACTT